ACATGTTGACTCAGCAGCTCTTTCCCCCCCTTAAACTAAAACAAAGAGCCATGCAGCCTATTGTTACAGTGATGCAAAGGAGAATTATTTCACCGTCGACAACAGTTACTATTGTTCCTTCCGCCAGAAAGAATGGGATTTATAAACCGTGCTGACAGCATTTTAACTCATACGATATTTATACATCCTTTCGGCAACGACAACCTCGAGTTTTTCGACCAGTGAAAGTCGCCAGATGCGAACAGCTACAGAAGAGCTGCGCACTCTTGCTAACCTTTTGAAAGGGTCTAAACAAACAGCAAATAATCAAAATAAACCCTTTAGAATCAACGAAGTACCATAAGCTACTGTGCAAGCCCTTATCCAACATATCTAATTATCAGTTTAATTTTTTTTTGCATTGAAACAGTCAGAAAGACAAGCAGCGTTAGGTGTAACCCTGCAGCTCCCATTTCACAACACGGGTCCTCAACCGAATTCAGCACTGGCAAGCGACCACATACCAGGATCACAGCGGAGGTTTGTTAAAAAATTAAGTAACCGTTCAACTGGTTTTCTTTTTAGGCCATTTGCTGCTTCTTGGCATGAAGAAATAAAAGAAGCCAGCCTGCCCCTTCCAGCTCAGTTGTATTTTCAGGCTGCTTCATGCAATGTTCCTGCTGCAAGTACTCCACAGGGATATTTAAAGTACTTGCAAAATATTTTTTTGGCTTTTATTAATTTCAGTTTAGTAGTACGTTTTGCCCAGAACAAAACTTTAGACACAATATAACGCCTAAGAGATTTAGAACAATTGCTACCTTAGAAGAAACCGAGCTACTTCACCTCCGTAAAACTGTACCTTTTACTCCACTACAAAACAAAAATGATATGAAGTATGCACATGCTTAGAAACTCTGATGAGTTGTATTTGGTTTTTTTTTAAAACAACAATGACAAGTTCAGAGCTCATTTTTCAAGCTGATTTGGTTTTTCTTGCAGAGTTTTGAAATGGGTATTTGAAGACCTAAGAACTCTTCAACTGCCCAGAGGAGACGGTAACCTCCAGGTTCCAGAACATGGCTGAATTTACACCTACGGTATGAAAATGGAGAATTGCCTTCCCAACACAGCTTTCAGGGTAAGCTAAGGCAAGTAGCAAAACCGTAACAAAAGCGAGTAATGTCCATATGTCAGCTACAGTACTATGGGAAAATGAAAACACTGCTCAGAAAAGGAAAGCAAAGACCAAAACAAGACCAAAAAAGACCAAACCAGGAACTATCCTACGACTTGCTGACCTGTGAGCCTTTTATCACCACCTGGAAAGCACAGGACAAACCTTCCTCTACCCCCATCCTATGCCTCAAAGTTATAAAGCAACACAGCAGAAACAAAAGAAAGGCATCAAATATTTGCATTTTCTAAAGCCTTTGATAAAACTACCATGCACCTCAAGGCCAAGCGATAAAGCTCCATCAAGGTTCAATCAGTAGACAAAGGACAACAGAAGACCAAGCGTCGGTATAAACGAAGAGGAGGTTGGGAACGAAGAGCCACTGCCTCAAACGAGTCAGACAGCCTTGACGGGTCTTACAAAACCCTCGCATTCACCCCACTTTGGCGAAAGCGGGTAGAGCTTTGGCTACATGACAACACAAGGCAGTTTTCTGCAAAAATGTTTTCAAGATAGAAGAATTAGAAGTTGACCGTGTTGGAAATTTAGGACTAACCATCTGAAAGCAAAGCACTCCATCAGCAACTCCTACTGTGGCACTCCAGTTGTACTGGAAAGTATTTTTAGCTTCAAAAGCTGAATAAATTAGAATAATCTAAGCAATAAACCCCAAACAAATTCCCTAACAACCTTTTGGGCTCCAGGAGGCACCTCTGGGTGGAGTTTTACTTCAATGCCTGCAAGCCCAGCCCGCGAGCAAGCCGAGTTTCAGTCATTAGGAGAAGACTTTCCCCCATCGCCGCGTAGAGGTTGCAAAGCAGCCGTACGGCCTAACAGCAGAGTTAGCAGACGAGACGACTGCTTCAGATGACTGCGCTGCTTCTGGTTATTTAAAAATCGCAGGAGACCACAGAACCATAAAAAAGCCACCGATGCTATACAAATGGGAACCACTGCCGAAGGAAACGGTCCGATGGTAACAGCTCAGATGCACCGCTGAGCTCTGAAATAGCTGCTCGGGGTGTCCGAGAGAGGCTACAATGCCAGAGGTAGCTCCACGCAGACAGGATAAAAATCATGAAGGAACGCAAACCTTTATATCGCAATCTAAGACAAGCGTGAATCATGAGCAGGTTCTTGCAAGTTTTTCTACAGCTTGTAACCTGTTTGTGGCTGCTCTATCAGATTAGGCAGCCTGACAGCCTGGCCCAGCGAGGCAGCTCCCACGTTTTTAAGTGAAACAACTCTGACCTTCGTATTTTCTGCCCATGCTCTTGCCTGAGACGTGAAAACCTCTCGCTAGCAAACCTATGACCATGACTTTTGCTCTCCTGCCCTCTCAACACTCTTCCAATAGCCTCTCTCCACGCCATCTCTTAACGTGGAATGTAATCTAAAAAGATAAAATTAGTAACAAAGCATCTGCGTTGCAAAGTCTGTTTCGGACTCTCCTGCCAGCACAGACAGGTACGTTACCTCAAGTAACAGTCGCACTTTGAACCCTGCGTGCTAATAACATCAGCGGGCAAAAAGAAGTTTAACAACCCGAAAACCAATGACAGAATTTCTTAGTTCCCAGACTAAATGACAAATTGTTTTTCTGTCTACCTACTGTGAAATACAGAGATATTATTTAAGGATTCAAGTAACTCCCATAGTTGAGGGTACAATTAAAAAAGAAGAAGGAAAAGTCTGCTGGAAGTCTTATGATATCTGGTAGGCTTTCACTGGGAGTAAGGAATGGGGTTTGGTTTTTTTTTTTTCTTTGTTTGGGGTTTTTTGTTTTTTGGTTTTTTTTAAGACAGCATAATCAAGTTGCTTTTACTATATTTAGAAAGTATTCTAAGGTTTTACTGCAGCTCAGCATGTTTAAGTAAATCTTCTTGTTCCTTCTGCCTGTCTGGAACCATCTGTATCAAAAAAGCAGGTGCTGCTGGCATGAAAAGCTTTTTCAGTCTCCTTCCCTTAGCAGCTCTCGCCTT